TATACTAAGTTCCTCGTATTCTACTATGGTAGTTGTGTGTTGGATACTCTCAATTTTGAGAGTTTGTTGCTTAATCTCCATAAAAGGACACTGTCAAAGTCTCAATAGATGTATAACCACTTCTCAATTGATGTACAAATTCAACCTCTCGTTGAATTTGTACCCTTTTCCAAAACATGAAAATTTGAAGTTATGTTTGTTTTCTCTCTTGAAAATTGTTTTCAGTTTTTAAAAATAAATTGTAATACAAATTTGTATTATAATTTATTCTTGAAAACTGAACATATTTATAAAATAATGCTATATGTTCTATTGTACTATCCTATTTTATTTTTTCTTTAGCATATTTTATTTTTGTCCAACTTTTATCTCTCATATGATTTCTTATTTTATCATTTCTTGAAATAGGGATTAAAAGTTATTACAACTTAAAAGTAACATGACAGATTAAAAAAACTTGTGTACCCTCTAATATTACCACTAGTTATTATAACGAGGGCCCCATAAAGATCTAATTTATGTTCGGTAAAACTAAAAACTCTTGGGAGCAATTTTGTTGCTAATTTTAAAGTGATTTTAATAATTGATATTGCTGAAAAAATAAAATAAAAATACTTAGAAAGGCTTTTTTTTCTCTGTTTTTGAACTGTTATTTCAGTGGTAAAATTGATACTTTAATTACAAATAAGTAAAATTATTAACTAAAAATCATTCCAAATAACGTGCAACAATTAATACAAGGACCTTCTAGTTCAAAGGTGTTGCAAATGTACCATCAAAGTAGAGCAAAGTCCCACAGCAAAGCTCTGAAAAAATAACTTAATGTGAACAGTTCTGATGAGTGGATTAGTAGGAGACTCGATGAAGATTGAAGAATAAACAGACCTACACTTTTGTATAATAGATATGAACTCAAGACCATCAATTAATTTCAATAAATCAGAGAAATCCCAAGAGGGTAAAACACAAAAGGTTAATCATTACATTCCCAAAACATAACGTTTATTGCTTTTCAGACAAGAAAAAAAATACTACAAACAAATGAGTAAAATTAAGAAAGCAAAAATTTAATTTATCATCATTCTTAATTTTTTCAAAAGTACACAACACACACGCGTCTTATATAGTTTTCATATTAAACAACATACAATCACACGTCAGAAGTCTACTTAATAACATACTGTAAAAATGTATTGGTAAAAACAATCAAGCATAGAAACTTAGTATATTAGAAGTCAACTTGAAAATTCTCATTGAGTGTGCTTAAAGAAAGAAAAGATATAACACTGTGAAAGTATTGATTTTGTAAACCTTAAAATCGTTAGCTTTGAGTTGTAGTAACAAATTATAGACGTTATTTAAAATGATCACTAATATTAGATGAGTCACTCACTGCATACACATGCACCACCTTGTTGCTCTCTTTGGGAATCACATTAACTCTTCGACTACACGGCAAAGATACAAGCAGAACCGACGAGTGACAGTAATTAATCTCAACCTTTGATTAAATTATTATTATATCTAACTGCAGAATGGGTAACTCGTGTTAGAACCAACTTTATTATATATGTAATATTGGATTGAAGATAAGATCAAAGCATAGAACCAACAAGACTAAGAAACGATGATTTGAATGACATAGCTAATTACAAATGTGTCCCTGTCATGGGCTGATATATGAGCAAAAATGTGTTTGCTGCATCCATTTGCCAATCTCAAACATAACACAGTGCAGATCTATTTTGCTCCTCATCAGATCTTTAGTCTTTATCAGTCATTCTGAGAATGGCGGAACACATTCCATTTGCTGTTGCGTCTAATCTCATTCACAGGTTCGTTTCTGCACCCGTTCTTCAGTCTGGATCTGTTTTTTTTTTTTTTTTTTTTGCATAATATGTTTAGCTTACAGTTTGTTTTTCATGTTCATATATATTGATGCTTTTAGTTTATCGTCTCAATTTTTTTTTTTGAAATATCAAAACTAAAATTTTTAATTTAAATTTCATGTCGTATTTTTCCACTAAAATTCTTTTTCTTTTAATCAAAATAAAATTATGATTACATAAAAATTTATCATTCTTATTTAATTGCAAAAATAAGGTTTACATTTTTTTATACCTTCTATTTTCTTTTCTAGAAGTACCACTTTCCTTATGGTTTTCATTGGTTCTTATTTTGTTTTTTTTAAGTTTTAATCTCTTTCACCCTTCTATTATTGTTTTTTCTTCTCCGTAAAGGTTCTATCTTTTTATTTCTTTGAATATTCTTTTTCTAATACTTAGCATTTAAAGCTTATTTATTACTATTATTTTTAAATTTTATGTTTCTTTTGTTACTAAATAATGCAAGCAACACCAAAGATAGGTTGAAAAAAATTAAATTCCTAATTTAATACAAAAATAACTTTAATCACTTGCATGCACAAAATGTGTATATATACATACATATATATATATATATATATATATATATTGTTTTAAACAAATATTGTTCATGACTAAATTTTTTTAATTTTTTATGTAATGATTCTTCCTATGCGTCGTTCTGTTTGTTATCTGAAATTTTTTATGACATCAAAACCAATACAATATAAATTTTTATTTAAATTTCATGTCATGTATTTCTACCATGATTCTTTTTATTTTAATAAAGTTGTTTGTTTTTTTTATAATTTTTTTATCTCTTGAAAATATTGAAATAAATTAAAAATGAATAGTATTTTAGATTAAATCAAATGAAATTGTAATTATATAAATTTATACCCAAAATATAAAATCATATTATAAATTGTATTTAGAAAAATAGAAACGTAAACTCTTAATACTTACAAATAACAATTAATCACAAATATATTATTGAAATTTTTAGAATCATTGTTGTTGTAATAAAATCAAAACTGTAATTAAATAATCGAATTAATAATTAATTACTTCAATAGTAATTTATCTTTTATCTATTAATATATTATGTATAAAAAAATTATTGATATAGATAATTCCATGCGGTATTTCCAGAATCATTTTATTTATCGCCTAGAAGAATTATTTTTTATTTACTTTTCAGAAATCGTACCTCTAATGCTTTGATAAATTAATTAAAATAAAAATTGTGTTGAATCAAATTATAATATTTATTTTTGAATAAATACTAATTATATATTATTATCGTCATAATAGTTGAGTGTCTTAAGTGTAATACTATGAGTATGTCAGCTATAACGTTATGCTATTGAGTCAATACATGTCATTATTTTAGCAATCAGAAAGATATTTTTTTATTTTTTATTTTTGAATGAGAAGCTGAGATAGTCATCGTTGTAATAACACCATTAATATCATCATTTACAGTGAAGTCTTAACAAGTTATTAGTTTTTTAAAGTAGGCCTAAATATTCATAAAAATATTAATTTGAACTCTTAAAGTTGAAGGAGAGGATTAAAAATAATAATTTTTTATAATAAAATATTGTATTTTTAAAAATAAAAAATAATAAATGCTATATTTATTAAAAGATATTATTTTTACCGATATAAACTCACTTTTAAAAATTAAAGTAAAAAAAACTAATATTGATGAATAAAGTTATTAAATATTAATGTCATTCATAACTGAGATTACGTCGTATCACCTCTTAAATTATTTTTGTTTAAAAATTTATGTATACATATATATATTTATAAGAAAAGAGATATTTGTGGTCTCAAATTTGAGTTCCAATCATGTGAAAGAATTTTGTCGCTTATAATAATAGATTAAATGAATGCAGATATAGAGACTTATAGCAATAGATCAAATGACAGAATTTTTTCAAGTCAAGTCAGATATAATTTGAGTCCCAATTACAGGTATTAAGTGTTACCTCTAAATCTTCCTTTTTTTTTTCTTCAGAAGAAATCACATTTAAAATTTTAATTTATATAAGTAAAGTAATTAAAATGTCGTAACAATTAACGTATTTTTGTTTATAAGTTTATACGCATGCTATTCAATCTTGTTATCACGAACTAAAATCTAAAAATTATTCTTAACGTAATCAAGATATTAAAAATAAAAATTAATCACGACACTTTAAGAATTAAAATAATTGAGAAAAATAAACTACCTTATTTATACATTATATATGTAAACCTTATAAAACATAAAATTAGTAACATATATAACTATATTAAGTATAAAAATATATAAGTGAGACTCATAAAATGTGTCTTGTGTTACTTATTTTATTTTATTTCCAAAAAATCAAATTATGTTATCTTTTATAATTTTTAATTTATATCTTTATATGTTTAGTATTAATGGTGAAAAAATATTTATTCAAATTAAGGTTAATAATATAATATAAAATCAATGTATAGAAGATAAAAATTAAACCTTTCAAAGATGAATCACACGTTATAATTTTTTTTTAAAACTTTCATTAAATTTAAATAAAAAAGTCCGTTCCATTGAGACTATAAATTTGTTTGAATAACCTTTTTTGCATTGTAAAACTTTAATCAGATATTCCTTTAAAAAGATTTTGATTAAAAATTCATATTTTGAAAATCATTACTTAAAATATATGGTTAATAAATATAATTATATTATATTAAATTTTAAATCCAAATAATCCGGCACAAACTACAGATAAACTAATAGAATATATAATTTTTATATCTAACAATTTAATATAGTGCGTCATAATAAAATATTTAAAATTTACTTTAAAATTTATTAATTTAAAAAAAAATTTAAACTTAATGAAAAAATAAATATAAAAAATATTAATATAAAAGAAGCTAAACAAGTAAATATATATAAAAAAAAATCTTAAGTACTCTTTTATTCGAGAATGCAAGACAATTCATATTATCCAGAATTTACAATAAATTATTTTCTATTATACTTTTTGTGAGACATAAATAAGTAATTCATCAACATTAATAAAAAAATAATTATATGTTATAAATTAATGCTATGTTAAAAAAGTTCAGTTTTGAAAAATCAAATTCGACTTTATGTCTTGTATTTTTTTAAAATTAATTATTAATATTTTTTTTTGAGTGAGTCTATTGTCACTCCAAAATGTCTATTATCATTTTTTTTATATAAAATACTCTTTTTTATCAGTGGATTGTATTAATAATAATATTTTAATAAAATATCTCAAACAAGGAGATTTTAGAGTGATAATTGGCATATTTTCTTGTACTAAAATTATAAGAAATAAATATTTATTTTTAAATGGATTAATTATTAATTTTTTTAACCTTTTTCTGTCGTGAGAAAATTATGATTCCTTAGGATTTGTAACTGAGCAGGCCATGGACAAATCAAGATTCAATCGATCGGATTTGTATTATTATTATTACCTGTTTTACCTTTTGCCAATAGTTTTACACATTGCTCAACTTTCCTCTCAATAAAGCACCCTTTATACAGTCTTTCTTAATGATGGCTGAGTCGCTGTTACTTCAAATCTCATTCGCAGGTTGGCTTCAACGGATTTTCTTGAATTTGGAAAGAAATATGATGTGATGGAAGAGTTGGAAGAGCTTAAGAACACTATTGAATCCCTCAATGATAAGCTCCTTGATGCCGAAGGCAAGCAAGATCATGACGGTGGTGTGCGAGTTTGGATCAGAAGGTTCAAAAAAGTACTTCATTATGCAGATGACTTCTTAGATAACCTTGCTATCCAATATAAGAGAGACAAATTCGGTGCAGCAGAAGGAAAAGAAGTAAACAAGGTACTTCTTTCCATTTCATCTTCAAATCATATTCCTTTATACAATGAAATGCCCTACGAAATTAAAAAAATAAGAGAAAGTTTTAATGGTGTAGTAAAAGAAATGAAGGGTTTGAATTTAAGCCCACGATCTGTGGTGGATACGCAAACTAACAGTGAATGGAGGGAAACATGTTCTTATGTATTAGAATCAGACATCATTGGAAGAGATGATAGTAAAAAGGAGATCATTAGTCTGTTGAGACAACCTTATGAAAGCCAGAAAGTTTCTGTGATTGCTATTGTTGGCATTGGTGGTTTAGGTAAGACAGCTCTTGCACAATTGGTGTATAATGATTTGGAAGTGCAGAATTCTTTCGAAAAGCAAATGTGGGTGTGCGTCGCTGATAATTTTGATGTGAAAACTATTCTGAAGAAAATATTAGACTCAATTACTGATGGCCAAAGACAAGACCAATCATTAGAGAAGATGCAAAAACGGCTTCGTAAAAATTTAAGTGGTAAAAAATACTTGTTGGTCCTGGATGACATTTGGAATGAGAATCATAAAAGATGGGCTGAATTGAGAAAGTACTTGATGGGTGGCGCTCAAGATAGTAAGATTTTAGTGACAACTCGAAGTGAAAATGTAGCAAAGGCAACTGCTGCTAGCACTTCCTATCCTTTGAAAGGTTTGACCAATGAAGAATCTTGGAGTTTGTTGAAGAAAATTGCATTTGAGGATGATTTCAAAGGAGTGAATCAAGATCTAGAATCATCTGGGAAAGAAATAGCCAAAAAATGTAAAGGGGTTCCATTTGCAGTTAAAACGCTGGGAGGCTTGTTACGAGGACAAAATGACAAAAGTGAATGGGAGAATGTTCTACGCGGTGACCTGTGGAATTTATGTGAAGAGCAGGATAGTATCATGCCAATTCTAAAACTCAGCTACCGAAAATTGTCGCCAGAAATGAGACAATGTTTTGCATATTGCTCTTTACATCCTAAGGATTCAAGAATTTCAAAGAACGAGTTGATTCAGTTGTGGATGGCACAGGGTTACCTTAGATGTTCAATTGAAAAACAGCACATGGACATGGAAGATATTGGTAACCAATTTGTAAAGATTTTTTTGATGAACTCATTTTTCCAAGATGCAAAAAGTGATAAATATGGTGAGATCATTAGTTTCAAAATGCATGATTTAATGCATGATCTTGCAATGCTAGTTGCTGGCAATGATTATTGTTACTTGGATAGCAAGGCAGAAAAAGTTGAAGGTAGTCCCATGCACGTATCTTTGGAATCTAATGCCATTCATTTATTGAAATCATTAGATCCGAGCAGGCTGCGCACTTTGATTCTGTGGTCATACAACGAGGAGGAATTGTCTGTTGAAAATTTCAAATACTTACGCGTATTGAGGATGACATCTTCTTCTTTTTGCAAAATGTTTGATTCAATTGGAAAATTGAAGCATTTAAGGTACCTTAACATTGTTGATTCTTATTTCTCCTTGAGTGGGATGCCAGTTGGGTTGGGAAAATTGTGCTCGTTGCAATTCTTATCAATCTTTGTTGTGGAAGATAGCCAAGAAACAAAATATGGCACATTAAATGAATTGAAAGACTTAAACCACCTAAGGGGAGAATTACACATTAAGCATCTCAATTGTGTTAGAGACATGACTTTGGCATCACAGGATGTAAATTTAAAAGATAAAAAAATCCTTCGATCCTTGACTCTGGATTGGAAAGTTCCAGATTGTAACAGTGACAGTTTACAATTATTAGAAAACCTTCAGCCCCACAATAATCTTAAGCGATTGAAGGTGAAGTGGTATCCAGGCGTGCTTTTCCCAAATTGGCTTTCTCTGCTCACAAATGTTGTTGACATCTATCTCTATGGCCTTTATAATTGTCGCTGTCTCCCACCGTTGGAATGTCTCCCCTCCCTAAAGTCACTTCAGATAATTAATCTTGATGAATTGGAATACATATATCGTTATGAAGATGGTTTTGCAGTAACCTTCTTCCCCTCTTTGGAGAGACTGGAATTAGAGGATTGTCCTAAGCTTATGGGATGGCGGAGGCGGGGAGATGATATCAATGATTCTAAGAATTCACGTAATCTCTCCCTACCTCTTTCATTTCCTCATCTTTCTCAACTATATGTCTCTTCCTGCTCACGGTTGATTTGCATGCCTTCTTTTCCATACGTTAAGAATTTGTATTTGCGACGGTGCGGTGTGGAGCCATTAATAGGAACACTAAACACAACAGCGTCAACATGTTCAGCTTACTCATCTTCCTCCGCTGCTCCTCTTTCCATGCTTAAACAATTGACGATTTCTGATCCTATCAATTTACCAAAGGGTTGGATGCAAAATCTGACTTCTCTTCGAATTGAAGAATGTGAAAGTGAAACACTTGAGGAATTTGAAACTCAGTTTAAGGACGACACCGTCTGCCTTTCTTCTCTGCAAAAAATCAGCATATATGATTGTGAAAACCTAAAGGCTTTGCCAGATTGGATTTGCAACCTCTCATCACTTCAGCGGATCAAAATCTCACGCTGCCCAAAATTGGCATCGCTGCCCGAAGGAATGAGTCGTCTTACCAACTTAAAGATCTTTGAGGTTGTGAGGTGTTCCCTCTTACTTAAAGAATGTCAAACAGAGAGAAGTGCTGTTAGTCGCCAAATTGCACACATCCCACAAATTATCCTTCATGATTAAGCTTATGGGGGGTTGATCATAAAGGTAGTGATGCCCTTTCCTATCAACTGGTTTCTAGAGTAAAATAAGATGTTGTTGTAACTACATAGATAATTCAAATACCAATTCTAATTAGTTAATTATAAGTTAAACAATTAAAAAGAAATGATGTCAAAAAGAATAAATGTTAAAATGTTAAACGTTAAAATGCTAAACAACTTAAAAACAATATAAGATTTAATGGAATTAAATGCTAAGGAGATTTATTTCAACTGTGTTAACAAAACATAACATAAATATCAATATGCCTTGTTCAAATTCAATTAAGCGGTAATAGAGTCATCATGTTATTAAAGTCTTTTTCAAAATTATTTAATGTCACTCAAGTAAAGTCAAGCAAGCACTTAATCTCTTAGTGTACTCTAATCATATTTGTCTACCTCTAAGTGTCATTCAACTCATAACGTTGCATTCATACTCTTTTCTCAAACTTGTGAAGAGAATCTTAAATTGGTGATCAACCATTTCAAGATAAATAAGCTCAAATACAATGCTTATTATCACATAAAAATAAGATATAAATTCATTCATATTAATATAATATCAAATACATAGCTTCCATGAATCACCCACCGTTGATAAAGGATTTAGATATAAGTCATGAAAAAGTAGTTTACAATGGACAGAATTGAAATAAAAAGAAACCATGAATGAAGAAAATTACACAGAGTTAAAGAATAATCTCAAGAGTCTTGCTCTCAAGCTCTTGAAGGTCCCAACTTCTAAGCTCTAGGCTTTCTCTACTCAATATTTCATATCTCCCCCTTTCTATCATGTTCTCTTAAGTTTGTGTGCCAATTATGGCCTGTCAAGATCAATATAGAGGTCCAGCACAAATATCAGATTCATGTACCCATGTTGTAGTGTGGTTATCCATTCTAGAGTGTGATTTAAGTTTCAGGATTGATATCTAATTTTCTTAATTTTTTTTCCCAAAAAGCTACAAAATCAAAAGAAAACACAGCTATAATATAAGATTAGATGTGAGTGTAATCATGCAAGAATTTAAATTTAATAATGTAAAAAAGAGAAACTAAGAAAACTAAAACTAACTATCAATAAATTAAAAGTTTTAAGAAAACTAAAGAAAAACCTATCTCCTAAAAGAGTTATCAAGAAACGAGTATTGTTAGTCACCAAATTGTACACATCCTACCAATAATCCTTCGTGATTAGTGATGATAAAGTTATTGATGCCCTTTTCTATCAAAAACAGTTTGTTTTTGTTTCAGTGTAAACGTGGAGAAACTTAACAATTACTGCGCCTATTTGCTTCATGGTGTGTAAAAACCGATCATTGGACAAGTGTACCCATTGTCAGAGTAATATTATGAAAAATAGAGTACCACGTGTTGTATCCATAGGGACTGTTATTAAGAATTACTTCATTAATTGCGCAATTGTTAATGAATATAAAAAAATAATTTTTGTTGATAAAATTGCTAAAAGATACAAGAATAATAAATTAAAAGGAACAAATTTCTTATGATAATAAATTATAGAAAATTATGACTAAAGGTATTCAAGGGAAATAGGCGAGTATCTAGACTGTAAATCCTCATAAGTGTCCAAATAACTAAAATTCTTCAACTACTTAGTTCCAAACCCTTATCTCTGCAGGAAATTCTGAATTAAATCAATACCTTTCTCAAGGATAATGATTCCTAACCCTCGGTTGATCAATCAGAATCTCTTCCTTAATTAATACTCTTAGGTTGCATTAAGTTTATTATGAATTCCATAATTAGGGTTAATCCTAATACAGAAAACTTACGTCTTTCTATCTCTAGAAATACATTCAAGTCCTTTTAATTGAGCAATGTTAATTTCATGCAGGAATTTTACTCAAATTCAAACAAGAAAATAAGATGGAAGACAATTGATACTACTCAATTAAACCCAAGAGAAAGAACATGAAATAGTATTAGAAGAATTCCAGAAAATTGGGTCAATTAGGATTTATTACGTCTAGGTACTCAAAGAAAAATTAGAACCTAAACATCTTAAAACTAAAATTACAAAAAAGATGAATAAAAGTGCTTGATCCCATCCTCCAGCCGTCTCTGAGTCTTTCTTCTCCTCCAAACAGTATCCCCTAGGTTTCTGTGCCAAGTTTCCTTTTATATGAGTGGCCCAAGGGCTCATCTTCACGCAAAAATTTAAATTCTGACGCACGTTAAAAGTACATGGCCATGTACTTTGGCCATGTATATCTCTAGTCTCTAAAAAATTTATTTCACAGCTTTCATAAAAAGTACACGCTCATGTACTCGGCCATGTACTTTGGCCGTGTACATCTCTGGTCTCAAAAAATTGTACTTCATAGCTTTCATGAAAAGTACACGCCCATGTACACGGCCATGTACTTTGACTATGTACATCTCTGGTTTTGATGATATACTTCAATTGACGCGACCAGTGAGATACACGCTCATATACACGGACGTATACTAGCCCATGTATATCTCTAGTTCTTTGTCTGTTTCAATTTCCAATATCTTTTAAAGCTTTCACTTCTTGATTCTTTTTTCTGAAATATGAATAAAATGAAATTAATAATAGTAAATTTTCTCAATGAATATCTTTAAAACTCTCAATTATCATTCATGAATTATAATGTAGGATCAAGTATAAAAAATATTTATCACTTCACTGATAAAATACTTTAACTAGTTTTTGAGTTAATGTCCATTTGTTTCAAGATAAACAAAAATTATTTTAATAATATTAATTTTCAATTGTTAAACAATATTAGAGTCTGTGTTCAAATTGATATTAACCACCCTATATTTAATGCTAATAACTTTTTTGACTTTGCACTGGTATTATTAAAAAATATAAATTTTAAATAAAAATTAAAATATTATATAATTTATTAATTTTTATGAGTAAATATTTAATTATTAATAATAAATATTCTATTATATTAAAAAGATTAAATGAAAGAGAATCTTTTAAAATTAAAAATTAATTATAAAATTTGTATTACAGAAGTTATTTATAACTTAAGATAATATGTTTTCTCATTTGCAAAATAATACTTTAAGATTACTTTGTAAAGGGAAGTTGTAATGTGTAAACTCAATGAAACAGTAAATCAGTACAAGGAGAACAAGAAATCATTTTAAGTATTATTGCTTTAATGAGTTCCTTACAAAGTAAGTATGACTACTTTAAAAAATAGCCTATACAGAGAGTTTAAGAAAACGAAGGAAAAAGAAAAAAACAAGTCTAGAGAAAAGAACAAAACAAAATCAATGCCTTCCATGCCTCTCTCATTCTAACTATCCGGTATATACCATCATTAGCCCCACACAAAATCCTTTAGACGGGAATTTTTTATTTTGATTCTTGCATTCTTAAGCCTGCCCTGATCTTTAAGATCGACTAAAACATGATCACTAGATGCTGCACCAACTTCTCTCCCCATGACTAATGTCTCATTTGCTCTCATAATAGAAGTTTTGTTACTTTATCAATTGATATTTTGTCAACATGCTCAAGTTTTGTTTATCATGTTTTTCATTGCACAATTTCAAATATCTTTGTTAAAATAATGCACGCTAATAAATTTATTGTGTTTCTTTATTGCTTTTCTTGATGTAAATTTTTCAGAAATAGACTAATGATTGAATTGGTTAAAGATTAAGGAGCAGAGATATTTGAGCTGATGAGACAACTTTGTTGAATTCTTTTGTGTGAGTGCATTTATTACAGTTGGTTGTGACATTATCTTGGCCATTATAACGGGTGTAACATCTTCTAAGAGGAAGCCATCACTACACCATTAAGGAGTTGTAAGAGCGATTACGTTTGAACTTAAAGAACGTTTATAAGTGCTTTAACATCTCGCGCTATCCAATGTCTTGCATTTAACAGAGTAGTAATCAGTACTCTAAGAGCTGTAATAAGTTTTTAGCGCTGTTGCCGGAGATTATTTACTTTCAATATCATTAGTAGCAAAAAAATAGTTAGTTGAGCATTTATTTTCTGTTGTTTGTGTTATAATTGTTTTGCATAATTTTTCTATATTCTTTTATATTTTTTGCGTAATTTTGTTTTGAAGTTTTCTACATAATTGTAAATTTTATTTTGCATAATTTTTTGTGTTTTCTGCATGTTTTATTTTGTATTTTTCTGCATAATTTCAGATTTTATTTTGCCTAGTTACTAATTTGATTTGAACTTTGTTTATTTTCTTTTTGTATTCGAGAAAAAAACCAATAATAAAGTTACTTTATTGTGATGGTAAGAAACATGTATTAGAATTTCAACGAGAGCTAAGTTGTAAGAATAGGAGCTTATGAAGTGAGGCTTTTGAAGCTTTAATTAATGGTTTTCAAGCTGAAGTTGCCCAAACAAACCACTTAGAGTGTGATTCTTATGGTGAAAATCATGTGAATGGAACATATGATGTGGCTATACCAGAATTTCAAGAACAAATCAATTATAGGAGAAAATTTCAAAGACCTCAACCTACCTTTCTTCCTGTAGACCAGTATCAAGCTAACATGAGTCGGCATATTATAATTAGAATCAACAAATGTCTGCTACAAATGTTAATAATGCAACAACACATTCTTTAGTCCTCAGTTTTCACCAAAGGATAGCAACAAGACACAACCTGAAAGAAGAACCAAAAAGCTGTTGTTTGAAGATGCATTGACATATCAAGACAATGAAGAGCAAGGAAAGAAATTTATTGAATATATCAAGCAGCTGGAAGTTCCTTCACTTTATTTTTTTTCAGGTTCTCAATTGAATGAAGAGCTGCAAATTGGTCAGAAAAAGGAGAAATTTCTAAAGATGGAGCTAGAGTTGTTACCATCAAAATTATCTCCTGGAGCTAAAGATCATTAGGCATCAAGCTGGTGACATTAAAAAAGTGCTTTGTGAGAGATAACTCACATTCTTTTTCTTTCATTTCTTTTCAATTTTTGGTTTTTGATTGCCTTTTTTCT